TATATATATATATATATATATAATATAATATAATATTTATTTATTTATTTTGTTATTTATATTTCAACAAATTAATGAAATCACACAAATCTGAGTTCCAAAGTTTGGTAACAGAGTTGCAAAAATTCTACAGAACATGAGCAAAAAATATTGTATAAATATTTAGTTTGAACTCCTGAGGTGGATGAAATAACTTTTTCTGAAGGTTAAAGCCTTGTTATTGACCCTTTGTTGGATTAGAACAAATACTTGACCTCATTTTTTAAGACATTCAAGGCCTAGAAAGTGCTGTGTGTGAGTGTGTGTGTGTGTGTGTGTAGGTGTGTGTAGGTGTGTGTGTGTGTGTGTTTCTACCTACAGTATTTCCATGTCGGTTTGTACCCTTTGGTGTTTGTACCTGATATTTGTGTTTGTTTGTGCATCATAATCAAGCATTATTATTTCTTTGCAGGTCAATACAACCAAACAATCAACATGTTCCAGACCCCTCCAAATATTTCCAGCCTCTTCACACTGTTCACGGTGGAAACTTCCGGGTGAGTTCAGCTGTATTTCCTGCATATATTATGAACTATACTAGTTTCCAAAGTGTTTGTTTACTCTAGCGTTCAAATATTTGAGGTCAGTAAGATTTTTAATGTTTTTGAAAGAAGCCTCAAGGCTGCATTCATTTGATCACAGATACAGTAAAAACGGAAATATTGTGACATATTATTACAATTACAATATTTCTATTTGAATATATTTTAAAATGTAATTTATTCCTATGATGCAAAGCTGAATTTTCCACATTATTACTCCAGTCTTCGGTGTCACATGATCCTTCAGAAATAATTCTAATATGCTGATTTGAAACATGTATTATTATTATTATAATTATTATTAATGCTGAAAACAGTTGCTTAATATTTTTGTGGAAACCGTGATACTTTGATGTTAAAAAGTATTAAAAAAAACATTTATTTGATATAGAAATGTTATAATTATATTATAAATGTCTGTAATGTCACTTTTGATTGTCAATGCATCCTTGCTGAACAAAAGTATCAATTTCTTTCAAAAAACATTTTACAGAACTTTTGAACGGTACTGTTACAGAAGTTGCTATTTTCACCAGTACAGTGGCAATTCACACTTTTACTTTCTATGTAATGTATTCATGCCAACGCATTCAAAAATACATAAGTGTATAAGAATAATAATAACATTCTCAGGTTCACTCATTTTTCTTCATATGCACAATCTTACCCATATAAACTCACACACACACACACACGTTTAAAGGAACACTCCACTATTTTTGAAAATAGGCTCATTTTCCAACTCCCCTAGAGTTAAACAGTTGAGTTTTGCCGTTTTTGAATCCATTCAGCCGATCACCGGGTCTGGCGGTAGCACTTTTAGCTGTAGCTTAGCATAGATAATTGAATCTGATTAGACCGTTAGCATCTCGCTCAAAAATGACCAAAGAGTTTCTATATTTTTCCTATTTAAAACTTGACTCTTCTGTAGTTACGTCGTGTACTAAGACCGACGGAAAATGAAAAGTTGCAATTTTCTAAGCCGATATGGCTAGGAACTATACTCTCATTCCAGCGTAATAATCAATGGCCGAAACCTGCATTTCTTGCAAATGCCTACTCATATCTTCTTTCAGCAAGCCACAGAACACACACACTGACCACATATGCATTTCCTCTTACCTGTCCACAGAAATGGCTGGGCTGTCAGAATTCTGTTGGGCCATTTCTTACCCCTCAGTCATGTGACGATATCTCACCTGTAGAGGTCTCGGATTTTTGGGACGTGTCTTTGATGGATCCCGACGCTCAGATGTCTGCTGCCGCGTTCGTTCACTCCAATCAGGTGGACTCTGGACTGGAGAACAGCTGCACTAGTCATGCATCATCATCTGTTTTCTCTAACATGGGCTACTTCTATAGCAAATCCAATAGAGGCTCTCTTTATCTCGAATCCTGCCCCGTGTACTTCAGCTACCACCCTGAGGAAGCCACAAGCTCCACTGGGTCTTCATACGACTGTTTGCAAACCCCAAGTTACCAGACGGATCAGCCCATGAGCCCAGATTCAGGGTTCGGCATGCCTGGAGAGGAGCATTGTGCGGATGACCAAGATGATGAAGATAACAGTGGCGCGGAGACATGTGCGGCGGAAGGACAAGCGCTGATTTCCTTCATTATGTCGCTGTCACAGGGTTCCCACAATGCTGTCCGCCCAGCAGAGAGTTTGGCTCCGGTGGCCGTCATCACACCGTGGTCTGAACCTGTGAGAGCACCCAGCTGCAATTCCAGCTCTGAGCCTGCAGAGGGCGCCGTGGTCAGACCCTCCTCCATGATTGAGCCCTGCGGGAGCGGGTATCTGACCCTGAAGGAGATGCAGAAATACAGCAACAAATCCATCTAAACGCAGGCCTAGTCCGTCTCTGTCTGTATAGGGGAGACCGGGGTAAAATACAACTCGGGTTTATTTTTGAAAGTCAGTTTCTATACCGACACATATTACAGTTCAAATGTTTGGGGTCAGTAATTATTTTAATGTTTTTAACAGAAGTCTGCATTTATTTGATAAACAATACTGTAAAAATAGTATTATTGTGAAGACTTTTTTTTTTTTTAGAATTTAAAAGAACTGATATCTATTTTAATATATTTTCAAATGTAGTTTATTCCTGCTATGGAAAAGCTGAATTTTCAGCAGCCATTACTCCAGTCTTCAGTGTCACGTGATTCTTTAGAAACATTTTTATTATTATCAGTGTTGAAAATGGTTTGCTGCTTAATATTTTTGTGGACACCGTGATACTTTTTTCCCCCAGGATTCTATAACGGAAATTTATTTGAAATAGAAATCCTTTATAGCATTATAAATGTATTTACTGTCACTTTTGATCAATTTAATGTGTCCTTGCTGAATAAAAGTATTAATTAAAAAATATATATAAATCTTACTGACCCCAAACTTTTGAATCATAGTGTACCTTAGAGGCTTGGCTAAAAAAAACAATGCTATTGGACATTCTTAGAGTTATTGTTCAGGGGAAAAGACAGTTCATCGACCATCACATCACACCGATCACATTGACCTTTGTGACAACATGCCCCACTCTATAGAGGTAAGCTGTCAAAACGGGAACCTGACATTAAACAGCCTATTATAGGCATTAATACATTTGTAATATGAATAGGATTAGTGAAATTGAAGCAGCAAATGTATAAGAGATGGTAACATACTATCATATCAGACTGAAAAGAACTGATATCTATTTTAATATATTTTCAAATGTAGTTTATTCCTGCTATGGAAAAGCTGAATTTTCAGCAGCCATTACTCCAGTCTTCAGTGTCACGTGATCCTTTAGAAACATTTTTATTATTATCAGTGTTGAAAATGGTTTGCTGCTTAATATTTTTGTGGACACCGTGATACTTTTTTCCCCCAGGATTCTATAACGGAAATTTATTTGAAATAGAAATCCTTTATAGCATTATAAATGTATTTACTGTCACTTTTGATCAATTTAATGTGTCCTTGCTGAATAAAAGTATTAATTAAAAAATATATATAAATCTTACTGACCCCAAACTTTTGAATCATAGTGTACCTTAGAGGCTTGGCTAAAAAAAACAATGCTATTGAACATTCTTAGAGTTATTGTTCAGGGGAAAAGTTCATCGACCATCACATCACACCGATCACATTGACCTTTGTGACAACATGCCCCACTCTATAGAGGTAAGCTGTCAAAACGGGAACCTGACATTAAACAGCCTATTATAGGCATTAATACATTTGTAATATGAATAGGATTAGTGAAATTGAAGCAGCAAATGTATAAGAGATGGTAACATACTATCATATCAGACTGTTGTTTTGAAATTTTAAACATGTGACAATTTGCCCTGTCTTGACATTTATTAAATCTACCTTTTTGGAGGGCAGGATTCACAAAATGATTCTAGTTTAATAGCCACTGCTATAGAAAACAAACACATTTGTGTAATTAGACATTTGACTCGAACCCTAATAAGTACCTCTGTGACTGCTCCGTCTTGTGACAACTTGCCCCGGTCTCCCCTAGGCAGTTTATTTACATTAATTCTTCACAACGCTGCAAATTTTATACATTCTGTTCGCATGAATTAAATGCTATTAAAAAGGTCAACGTTCCACAACAGCTGCATTATAACAGCTTTAAACTGTTATATTTCCGATACCTTTGTACAGCGTCATGATAAGCTAGATTTGAAGGCATGTTCTGGGTTAAACATGACTTAAGCTCTATTTGAATGCCAGTGCCACTGCAATAAGGATGATATAGAGAAATGTACTGCTCAGATAACTGTCAAGTGATTGCTACACTTTTGTTTGACACATATGAAGGAAGCAGTGCATTTAATTTGAACATATCTTATAAGTTTGCTTGACTGATTTAATAATGTTTAATTTAGCAAATGTTAAGGCTGAATATAGCTTATACAACTTTAATTGTTGGAGGTTATTTCCACCACTAACCTTTTATGTTGCTAACATTTCATATTTTAAATAGAAATATAATTGGTTAAAGTGATTTAGTTCAAGTTTCCAAATGGAACCGTTTTAATATTCAAAATCAAGCGCTAAGCATTTGCTTGATTTTTAGCTGCTATTAACTGTTATTTCATGTTTATCTGACTGCTATGAACATGGTATAAATGCTGCTTTTCAAATGTGAATTAATTGTTTAGAAATTCAGGGGCTTGTTTATGCCTGCAAGGCAATCCATGAATGCAGAAGCCTCAAGGTTGTTTGAGGTAAAAAAAAAAAAAAACTCTTGAGATATTACAACACTCCTATATACTGATATCTATACGTTTTCTAACAAAGTTTTAAAGCAAGTGTATGTAGTTTTGTGTATTTTTTGCGACTATAGCGCCCCCAATGTTAATTAAGTGGAATTCACTGTCGTAAAATACCACTGTCGTAATTACAGCTGTAGGCTACATGTTGATTTGTTGCTGCTGTAAAGCAATCCACCCTTTTCGCGGAATTTCGTACCCGCTACATACTTCCAGAACTGATGTTTGGGGGGAATGTGGAAAAGAAACAGAACTCAGTGTAGAAAGAAAATTGAAAACTTTTAAATCTGATATTTCAAGGTTAAATAAATAAAAACGTAGGCTACATACAGTTGCTATAAGGACAATAGTTGCATTATTTTAGCATTTCTGGATCGTAGGCTGCCTTTGAGAATAAGCGTTTTTTCCCCATTCAAATAAAATTTATTTTCTTTTTTCTAAACTATAAAATATGCATTTTTGTCTGAACAAAAATTGCAAATCATTTTGTACTTGTTGCAATTACTCAATCCTTGTTTTATGTTTGTTATTTTTGTACGTTTTTGATATTATGTATGTATTCTTTTATGCATGTTTCTTTATTTCAGAATGAAATAAATTCCCAAAAATATAATGGTGTGAATGTCATGATGTTTACACAGAAATCTTGTGTGTGTGTGTGTACGTACCTGTTTTTCTATTCTGGTGGGGACTTGAATACACACAGACTCCTGGGGACTCGTGTCACGGTGGGGACCTAAATTGAGGTCCCCACGGGTAAACATGCTAATAAATCACACAGAATGAAGTTTTTTGAAAATCTAAAAATGCACAAAGTTTCCTGTGAGGGGTAGGTTTAGGGGTAGGGTTGGTGTAGGGCAATAGAATATACGATCTGTACAGTAGAAAAACCATTACGCCTATGGAGAGTCCCCACAAGGATAGCAAACCAGACAGTGTGTGTGTGAATGAGTGGAGTTATGCAGGTTGTAGTGCTATGCGGTCTGACATTTATAAGTGCCAGCGCGTTTCCGTTCACCGCCGTGGAGCGAGCGCGGCTTGTGAAAGTCAAGTTGTAAATCAAGCTTATCTCCCTTGCGTGGCCTGAAAAATGAACTCCGTGAACCATAACAAAAAGTCGTTTTTTCTAGAGAAGGAGGAGCAAGAACACCATTAACATGCTTTTTAACTTGTTTATGTGAGATACGTTTTTGAGTGTGTTGTTTATGATCCTTGACACAGTTTGGAATCGTGGTCCCGCCTGGATTTGACCATAAAACTTGGGCTAACTGTTGATATTTCCACCAGGAGGCAGCAGTGAGCTCATGACTGAGGGATGAAGTAACCGGAGACATACGGTAATATCGAGGAGGAAACAACCCGCTTTTATTAATATGAATAGGATATAATGCTATATAATGCAATACAATTGTTGTCCCGCCTTTCATATGCCACTGTTCAAAAGTTTGTGGTCAGTAGGATTTTTTAAAGAAAGAAATCGATGCTTGCTCTTATTCAGCTATGGTGCAATAAATTGATCAAAAGTAACAGTAAATGCATTTCTAATATTATAAAAGATTTCTATTTCAAATAAATGGGTTCTCTGAAAATATTAAGCAGAACACGTTTTCAACACTGATAATAAGAAATGTTTCTTGAGCAGCAAATCAGCATTACCAACTAATTAATTAATTAATCAATCAATCAATCAATCAATAATTTGTGGTTGTGGATCATCTGTTGAAAACACTTGGATTAGAATGTCATTTTTTGGACTTTTTTGTTTATTAATTAGTCAAAATCTGTTATTTGTTACATAACATTTTTTTTTATCTGAATAAAAGTATTGATTTCTTTAATGCTAATACTAGTGTACTTCACATTTTGAGTGTTAAAAACAAACCAACAAACAAACCAACGAACAAGCACACAAAAAAAAAATCTATCCAGATTTTCATTTCATTTTCCATTTTGCCTTATGATGCTGGTTTCAATATTTGCTGGTTAAATACATGTATTCCACCCACAAGCAGTGCTTTTTTTGGCCAAGAATTGCTCACTTAATTAGACAGGAAGAGATGTTTGACCACATGCAAAGCAACCAGCTAGGTTTTCTTCTTTTATCTGCTGCTTTGGGACAGTTTGTCTGAAACAGATTACACCATAATCATAAAGCAGCATGGAAAAAATGTATTTAAATAACTGCCCAGTGGTCTCCATCTGATATGATCCACGGAAATGCAACACAGCCTCATTGTTTACACTTTTTGGGGGACTCAACCTATGAATACTAATAGTATCTGTACATTTAGCTGGTACATGAGAAAGTAAGATTAAACCTCAGCACATATGAATTTGGAAGTGTTTTAAAGTCTCATTAGAGTTATCAGATGAACTCTGGAAGGTACGAGCTGGATTCTGTCGAGTGGAGAGCAGATCAACTGAAATCTGTTCGTTTAGCTGTAGTCGTGTGCAGGTTGGACTCAGACCAAGAGAAACATTCATCTGTGTCCTGAAGGGGCCTACATTTGTCAGGCTGCATTCCACTCTTAGCATTATCCAGAATCCCCTCTCTTTCTATTTTTCAGGATCACACTAATCCAGTCTGCCTTAATGATCCCACTAATAAATACACAGGTGCTTCCACAGTCTCGCATTAGTGAAACAGTAACAGTGTG